TTATTTGATTTTATAGTAAAGTAAAGTTACAGCCTATATACGTCCCACTGATGGGCACAGGCCTCCCCTCATTTCTGAAAAGGTTTTAGGGCAAGGAAATGAACGCCGCGCTGCCCCAATGCGTGTTGGCGAACTTCACATGTCTTCGAGATATTTTTTTTTCTTATTCCTCAGACATGCAGGTTTCCTTACGATGTTTTCCTTCACCGCCGAGCACGTGGTATATCAGCACTTAAAATTGCAATTAACAATTTCATTTTTGCTGGCGGGGATCGAACCCGGGTTGCTCGCGTTCTGTTACATTTACAGCAAGCGTTGACCATCTGAGCTACCACGGCTCTCTATTTGATTTTATACCACTAGCCAACCGCCTGGCTTCGCACGGTTGATTTCTGGATCTCGACAATGGCGCCACATACCGAGTCCAAATGTTAATTTTAACCATCTAGGGACCCATTCAAACACACACAAAAAATCATCAAAATGGAGTAGTTTTTAAGTTTTAGCGAGATTAACGGACATCAATTGATTTTTATATATACAGATTAATTATATTTTAATGTTATTTTGAAAACAAACAACGTATTGACAAAATTTAACGATTACGGCCGTCCTTTCTTTTAATTCTGTTTTCGTCAAGGTCGGTTCGGTTTATCACTGTTTATTGGTATTGAATGACTGGTTGTGTGTTGTCATGTTGTTGTCATTGGATGAAATCGTCCAGCGATGATGTAAGCAACTATGGCTTGCCTTGTTATGTTACCGCGTTTTTATTAAGTCACTGTCTTGTTCCTCTGTCGTTCCAGTTGGAATCTTGTAACTCACATTTTGACCACTTTCCTATGAGCTAGGGACTTGAAATTTTAAACATAAATCAGAATCGGATGATGGAATATATTAAATTTTTTAGTAAGTACAAAATTTTAAAAAAGTCACTTGCTTACTTACATAGTTACTCGTACAAGTATAATTGGTACTAACTTTTACTAATATGATATGAATCTTAAAAAAAAATCTGTCAGTCTGTTTGGTATGCATCAATAGGTAGAAATAGTCTAATTTAAAATTACACGCGCTTTCCTTGTGTTTTTGGTAGATTTATCATCTTTGTCATATTAAATATAGTAAAAATGCTAAAATCTATTAGAAAACAATAGGAAGGGCGTGCAGATTTCAATTTTATGATAGTCAATATGGTAAATATGACAATCTACCAAAAATATAAGGGAGATGCGTGCAGTTTTAAATTAGACGATTGCTTATAAACATAATTGAAATAAAACGCCACATCGTTTTGCGGGGATGATGAGTGCGAAAGGACGTGCTCATGCAGCATCCAACCATTAATCCCAAAACCACTACACTAGGAAAGACAAACCATATATTAGCGGGTTTTAGAAAGGGATTGGGATGTACTGATCAAGTCTTTTCCATGCGCATGATTGCGGAGAAGTTTTTGGCCAAAAACCAGAAAGTTTTTTGTGCGTTCATGGACTGGGAAAAGGCCTATGACAGAGTGGACAGGAATGTGTTATGGCAAACACTGAAGTCATATGGTTTGAGCGCTGGTTTGATACAGGCATTGAGGTCTCTTTATAGGGATTCTAGTGCTTGTGTCAGGATCAATGGGATCTACTCGGACTGGTGTGGCATCCGAAAAGGTGTCAGACAGGGCTGTGTGGCTTCCCCTTGGCTGTTCAACCTATTTATGGACAGGTGTTTGAAAGATGAAGAATGTGGGCGAGTTAACCGTCAAATGCCTTTTGTATGCCGATGATCAAGTCATATTTGCGTCATCGGCGTCTGAGTTGCAAATGATGGTTACATTAATGAACTGGGAATTAAAAGAAAGGGGAATGAAAGTGAACGCAAGTAAGACGAAAGTGATGGTTTTTGAAAGAGAAGAAAGCAAAACGGTATGTGAAATAAGAATAGAAGGAGAGTTAATTGAGCAAGTGGATGAGTTTGTGTATGTGGGATGTGTATTTAGCAGGGATGATAGATATGATAGGGATATAGAACGACGAGTGAACGCAGGGAATAGAGTGAATGGGGCACTACACTCTATTATGAAGAACCAGAATGTGTCAAAAAAGGCACGTATAGTAATTCATAATGCTGTGTTAGTCCCTACTTTAATGTATGGTAGTGAAAGCTGGGTGTGGCAGAAGAAGCACGAAAGTAGAATAAATGCTGTAGAAATGCGGTCTTTAAGGAGTATGCTAGGGTTGAATCTGAATGACAGGGTGAGAAATTGCGTGATAAGAGATAAATGTGGTATGCAAGATGATGTTGTGACCAGGATTAAGAAAGGAATGCTTCGGTGGTTTGGTCATGTAGAAAGAATGAATGAGAAAAGAGTGACAAAGCAAATTTATATGGCAGATGTGAACGGCCGAGTCGGGAAGGGACGCCCTAGAAAAAAGTTTATCGACCAAATTGGCGATATTTTGAAAAGGGGCCACGTTAGATGTACCCTTAACCGACGAGCATGTATGCGTAGATATATGGATGTAAAGGAGGCGAAAGAGGTATGTCAGGATCGTGCCAAATGGAAGTCCGTAGTCTCTGCCTACCCCTCTGGGTGACAGGCGTGAGTGTTTATGTATATTATATATATATATATATATATATATCATCATCATTACAGCCCTTCACAAGTCCACTGCTGAACAAAAGCCCTCCCCCAAGGTAGGTATGCCACAAAGCACGGGTCCTGAGCCACCTGCATCCATCAACTTCCTGCATGTCTTACCAGGTCGTTACTCCATCTAGTGGAGGGTCGTCCTACACTTCGCCTACCGGTACGACGCATATATATATAGGTATTTCATGTGATGATACCCCGTTTAGAGGCGACCCTGAAGTAGTGGCTGACTGCTTACTTAGCGGCATGCAATTTAGGCAGGGTGGTGGGTGCTCTTCAAGACACATCATTTTATTTGATAACGCGAATCGTAGCTAATTCATTTTTAACCTGGCGCAGTGGCTTAGCAATGAGTGGCTGCGCTGGGGGCCGCGGGTTCGAATGCCGCACGAAGCAAGTATTTGTATGGCCTACTAATAATTGTTCCGGGTCTGGATGTTAGTCCTTGTGCAATTTATGTTTGTAAACTGCAACCACGATATACGGTAGAGTTTTTAAACAAAACGTTTTAAAAAATATCTTTGTGAAATGTTAAATGTTTGCAATTTATGTCCGAATTATTACTTTTTTATGCTTGACAAAAGTAACGAACTCTTCAGCACGCTATGACGACACAATTAGTTATACTTTGAATAGCAATTAAAAGTTAAATGCTTAGATAACAAAAATATTATGTTTAAAGCATAAATATTATAAACGACACCTAAAAAGTACTAACCGAATTAATTAACTTTTAATAATAATTTAAGAGTTTAATAAAAATTAAACGGTAGGCATTGACCACGAGTTGCGATGATCCTTATAATTATTATCTTTTATTCTGGCGATATTGATCAGGATACAATAATAAAGTTATTAAATTATTGTATTGTTAGTGGTCCTTGATTGAATTTCAAGTTAATCGGCCGTCTACGAGTTTATAAAAATTACATTAAAATATTTCATTACATAGATAATAGATTCATAGATAAAAATATATAGCACACGCGAATCTGATAAAAGCGTGTTGAAAATAAAAGGAAGGAAATATATAAAAGAAAAATTGTAAGTTGGTTATTTTTATAATTTTACTACAAAATATGAAGGATGTTAACTTAATATTAGAAAATGTGTATCTACACCAAGATATTCAGATATGCTACCAATTATCTGAATATCTTGGTTTAATTAAATATAAATTTTAAATTTAATTAAATTAAATAAATTTGTCTAGTTTATTTCTATGGGAACTTCGAACTTGTTAAGGGACCGTAAAATTGTTGACTTAACTCAATTAGGAACAACAGTTAATTGGCTTAATTACATTCCCAGATGTTAGAGGGTAATTAATGCCGATCCTTTGGCGAATTGATAAACAATGATTGGAAAAATATTTACGTGATCAAAATATTGTGGCCGCGTTTATAAAATATTACTAATATTTTCGGTAAGAACTTTTAACATGACATTTTATAAAAGTATAGTTTAAGCTGTCTTAAATACATTAAAATACATATTTTACTAGCAACTTGCCCCGGCTTTGCCTGGCTGGGATCTATTAATGTAGCCTCATCTAGATTTTTTTATAATCTTTAATGACCATTTATCTTATAATTCAATCTTATAATTTCACAAAGAAAATACTTAAATTTTTTTGGATAAAATATAGAGCCTAGATTTCTTCTTGCATTGCTCTCTGAGTCTATCTGTTCGTGGCGTCACATCGCAGTCGGTTCGGCCATCTCAGACAGATAGCCATACAGGCAGATTGACCAAAACTTTACAAATGGGTTTTCATGTCCTAATGGCATGCAAGACAGTAATTTCGATAGTACAGTTAAATTTTATTTACATGTATAGATAGTTAGTATTTGTTGTCGGTAAATAAAGCATTAGCTTGAATGTTAGAAAGTATTTATAGTCGGTATCTCAATGGCAACTTCCATTTAATTTTTAAGCGACTATAAAATCCACATGATTTTCTTTATTTCGCTCAACCTTCGCACGAACTTGGCTCAACACCCACTCGTCAAATGATCCTTGGATATTATTGATTTGCTATCCGGTCTTCTTGACAATTATTTACGTTCTTATAACTTACATGTATGTATAACTACTGTAATTGTAAGATATTATGCCTTTGGTTGTGGTCTCATTCTGCGCGCGCGCATGTGTCGGATCTGAGTCACCGGTAAGCGTTCTGCGCACAATGCCGACGGCATCGAACAGTCGCGTCGCGGCATACTTAGAGGACATACATATTACTTAAATTCGTGCTTTTATTACAACTAATATATTCTTTACGGGCGTTTCGCGGAAAGTGTATTTTATGAATTAGTGACTGGTATTTGTGAGTATTGGTGTTAAAGTGAAGATGACTGCTGTCAAAAAGGTGATAGCTATGCGACAGTTGGACTCGATGTTTGGCAGTTTGACCCTTGAGGGCGAAGGAAGACATTCTCCACTTGTAAGCTCTACAATCGAGCACGACCCTCATTGCGATGTTCATGGCCGGTGTGGTACTCCGACAGATAGATATAGGTCGTCCCTCTACCTACATAGCCGCGAGTCGACACCTGGACATTTTAGGGAATGTGTTTCACCCACAAATGGTCTTATAATCAGGTATATACAGTTTTTAACGTAATAGTAAATTGGAAATTGGACTATTAATTTTTATTTGAGCTTTTACATATTATTTTTCTTGTTTTTTTTTTTAATTTTAGCGTGTTTATGTTTCCCCAGGCGCCGTGATTCACTGGGTGTATCACCGGCACGTGAGCTTGAGCATCCATCTACATTCCCAAGTATACTCAGACGTGATCGCCATAGTCCCTCTCAAACGCCACCTCGTCGGGACACACCGAGTCCTACCCACAGATTTACAACAAGCAAACGTCACTCTATGGGCTCTTTTCCGAATCTCTCTCGCTGCAATGTTGTCAACTACAATAGGCGGGACTCCTTGACTAACGGTAGTGTCAGAGATATGAAGCGTGACTATGTTGGTTCGATGAACTCCTTATCAAGGAAAAGCTCTATTGACACAAAGAAATCCTCCTCCGATTCGTTGGACAATTGGCACGTCACTTGGGAAACCGACCGGAATAGCTCCGTTTCTTCTTTAGCGCACGATGATAAGCACGCACGCGGAATTATTAAGGTAAATGCAAACTAAAAAATTACGATTCCGTTGTATTATTTAACTCAACTCAATATCCTTAAGCGAAAGTAAAAACGTGACTGTTCCGAAGCTCGCGTTCGTAAATAATTTGTCAGGGAAAATGTTATGTAATACAATTTGAAATACTATAAGTATGCATCTATAAGAATGACCATATGGTTTCACACTATCAATATGTTGTCTCTCTTTATAATGAATGTTATAGTAATATTTACACAATACTATTCAATTAGGTTCAATTATGGTCAGAGATCAAACAATAAGTAGAGTCCACATCAAACATTTTTATTCTCGTTATATAGAAACTTGTAATTAATTTTATCTCCGCTCTGATAGTGAATTTCTACATTTCCCCGTTATGTTTTAATGAGCGTGAAGCGTTATATTTCATATAACTTACGTATCGATCTACTTGTTGCATGATGTTTCAGTTAATACATTATCACAGAATTTTCTATTTATTAACTTACGAATATAGTTCCAATATAACAATATTCATAAAAAACGTTTCAGGTAAATCGTAAGTAGTTTTTAACAATGGAAACAATAGTAGGTAACGAGTGCCAACGTTTTCATATATTATACAACAATGTGTGTAGCATGCTTATTAATTAAGCAGTAGGTTAATTATATTACAATAAACTATATGAAAATACTTTCAAAAGGTTATTTTAGTGCAATCGTAAAAAAAGGAAATTACATTGCGCTTATTGGGTATATAAAATGCCCCCTCCCCTAGAAGGAATTTGGCTCACGGCGGTCTGTCTCAACGGAGACGACCCATCTGCGTTTCACATAATTATAAAATTATAGTATACGAGTGTATGCGCAAGCATGATGCATACTCTCATAGTTCAATGAAACGCCAATCCTACATGATCGGAGAAAGATCAGGCGCAGGACCAACGGCTGCACATGATTTCCGAGGCACGGGGGTGAAACACCGTCAATTTTCCGACTTCGGGCTGATACTGAGAATTTATTGACAGAAAACTGAAATAACTGATTTTGTCCTAACTAGGAATTCGAACCCTGTATCAAATCAAACTCAAACGAAGCAGTCAATCTTGCTTTTATGAAAGGATTCCGAAATGTGTTAGGATAAAGTAGCCATTGAGGATAAATTTCGAGTTACAGAAATATAATAATATCTATAAAGGGAGGGAAAAACCATTAGGTACTTGTTCTCTTATGCGCTTGGGATTTATTGGGTTATTGACACCATCATTAATAAGTATTTAGGGACACAATATAATTCAGGTTTGCTACTTATAATTGTGATTCTTAAGACGTAACTAATAATGTTAAGACAGTCGATTTTCCATATTAAGCTACGAGTCAGATTTCTAGTTTCAAAATATATACTTACAAATTAGATGATGATTTGATTGTAAAAACTATGATCTCATCACACTGTATTCTCATAAAATTTCTCTAGAAATTTATGTTTTATCACATCAAAAAATGTGTTTCAATTGACTAATGACTAACTAAAATACCCAATTAGCACAATTAAATGAATTATTCTAGTTACCCATTTCGAGCCGTGGTAGCTCAGATTGATAGCGCTCGTTCGATCCCTGCTGGCGCCAATGAAATTGTTAATTGCAATGTTAAGTGTTCATTTACCACTGGATCGGCGTTGAAAGAAAATATCGTGAGTAAACCTGCATGTCTGAGAAATAAGAAAAAATATTTCGAAGGTACGCATGTGAAAATCGCCAGCACGTCTTAGGGCAGCGCGGCGGGCATTTCCTCGTCCTAAAGCCTGCTCAGAAATAAGAGTAGGCCTGGGATATATATATATATATTTTTTGTGGTTACGGATTTTTCGATAGTTCCATCAAAAATAATTTTTGAAATTTTATATGTAGCTATTATATATATATATATATATATATATATATATATACTTTTATATCTAGCTATTATATATTATATATATACACATACATACACGTTACTTACTGTCCGTTAGTTTCCCTAAAACTTCGAAAATGGCTCTACATAACTTAAGAGCTACTGAAGTCGATGCTAGTCATACATAACATGTGTATCGAAGAATGAATTATTTAATTCGTTTTTTGAAGTCAGTTTTTACAATTAAATGAAAGTTTTACTTTTTACCCTTTTGAAGGAAATAAGGAATATCGTATCAAAATCTAAGTTGTTACTAGAATGTCGTCTAAATATTTAAATTAATAACTTCATCCCGAATTTTTGCACTAATAGGGCCTTGAAGTAGATAGGTCCTTTGACAAAAACTAATCTAAATCGGTATACAATTACCAAAGATATCGCTTAAGATACATACAAAAAACACATTTTCATTGATGAGAACCTTATTCTTTTTTAAAGTCGACTGAAAGTATTTCAATTGACTGGCGTGCCAACACCTTTCTATGTATCGATGAACAAATTTTAAAATATGGCGACTAATGATACATAGATAATCGATATCTTTGTGGGTGCACTTGTTTAAAACTGCTTTAAGCCATATGACATTAAATTGAAATAGAATTCAGATACGATCTTGGAATGTTTCTCGTACTTTACAAGGCCCATAGCCGAGGAGAGCGCTTACCTCTGTCCGCTCGACATGGGCCGCCTTAAATGGACACGGCACAGACGACTAGCGCCCGTCACGACTAAATCATGTCAATATTTACATTTAGTCCCACGGCCTGTACTGCAAACATTGTGTTGCTTTTTGTTTTCGATACGTTGATGTGGAAATACAACACCAATCGGCTTATTGCATATTCTTTTCTAATGCGCTGAATTCGTCTGTGAACATCTATAAATCGCATAGATACATTTTCCAGGTTTCGCACTTTTAAAAATGAGCGCAAAAAGGGTAATTAAGTTCTATGCAACTTTATCTTCTTCAAACTGTTTGTCTCTGTTACGACTGCATATTTACTATGGAATATCTCTACGTCAATCGTAAATTATGTCAATATTTGTATTTCATGCAGTTCGAACGTTGAAAAAAAAGTTTAAGTTACAGCTAATATATGTCCCACTTCTAGGCACACGCGTATTCCCATTTTTGAAAATAAGAAAGTATCAGTTACTTAGTTACTCAGTCAATGTCGGCAGACTTCATGTCTTCGAATTTTTTTTTTATTATTTCTTAGACCTTCCTTCCATTCAACGCCAAAAAAACGTTGTAATGTTCATACATATGTTTGAGAGCAATTGATAAAACAGTGTTAATTTACATGGTGTGAATTTATGAGCAATACTATAATGATAGAAAATTAATGTAAAAAATCTATTAACAAGCTAACCTTACATTTAAAATATTTATTTCTCTGTCATTAGTACGTTAAATCGTATGTATTTAATTTAACAATGGAAATCTTAGGGGGCAAATTAGGTAGAATATAATCGAGATAAAACCTTTGAAAAATCTCCTTTTCCCTTTTTAATTCTTCTCCGTAACGAATATTTTTTTCAATAATTATTACATTTTATATACACTTTTCATTACATTCACAGTACACACAAGATGAGATCGTTAAAAATATTTACCGCCTTCAACTATTATACAATCTGTTTAAAATGTATAGAACCAAGGTAAAAGCATTTCTATTTGTATATATAATATATCTCCATAACTTCATTAAAAGACACACTCCAAAATAAACTCTTCTCCTTTTTGAAGTTTGTTAAAAAAATGATTGAGATTCCTATTGCCTATGGGCAGTTGATAATTCCTGTTGCAGTTCTATAGCAAAGGAGTTTTTTCTTTTTATTATAGAAAGGAAAACAATTATTAATAAACTCTAAACATCATAATTATTCATTAATAACAAGGTCAAACACGAAAGAGATGGATGTACGCCCCAAGACAGATTATATATACATAGAGAAGGAGCCTTTATGGTTACCTAGGAGGATTAAACTGAATAAAAAATCGGTTCACATAGAGATATAGCAGTTTACTTTGATTTACAAACCTATTCATCTTTAATACCATTATCACTCTTTCTTAATTTGAAATTTTAAAGAAAAATTGGCTCGTAAGGATCCATTGGAATAGGGCCTCTACCCTCGTAGAAATGGTACAGATCAAAGTCGCAATAACTACGCAATTCCTATTCCGATCCATAATTATATAATACAGACGTAGTAATACCATGAAGCATGAGACCATACGTCATGGTATTACTAAGCGGCAACTAGTCTAGGCTGCGTTTCTTCGATAAATGAACGCCTATTTTTTTAAGATATAAGAGACCGTGTAGAAGCGCTGTAAGAATATCTACTATACTATATCATCCCTTGGGTGTCATGAGAGGCGACAGATAGAAACTGAACCAGGAGATGGGCAGTAGTATCTTCCTGGTAGAACCTGATAGCAAATTAAAAATTGCGTTTGCCATCACGCTTACCAACACCTTCTATGGGGGAGGCCTATGTTCAATAATGTACTTTTGTTAGGTTATAATATTAATAATATCTTCTGCGCAAAAAAAGATTCCATATAATATCACGCGGTAGAGCCACGCTGCGGCTATACTATGGTTGTAACACGAATGGGTTGACTGGATCGGTGTAGGACCACGCTTTCACAGAATAACAACACAAAATAGTAGCGCGATGCTGCTGGGTTTCGTATGGTGATTGTAGAGAACCGGAGGCCCTTTTTACTGGAAACGAGGTATTCCATCTTAGTTCTCAGAAGTGACAGTGCAGCTGTATTTTGATTCTTAATTGAGGATAATTGTAGATGTTTATAGGCCACAGCATCCACTTACCATCAGGTGGACTGTGTACTCGTTTGTGACCCTTATTCTGTATAAAAAAACGTATCATTGTTTTTATATGTTTATGAAGATATTGTAGTTCTTACCGACTGTCCGTCCTATCTATCAAAGTACATTCGTAAATTTATTCTATAAATCTGATTCATAACTAACTCGTTTACAAAAGACATTTATAGTGTCTACAATAGAACATGATGTACTAATTACATTATTCTAACA